CCACTCTCTCTTCTTGTACCCATTACAGGCATCACCAATGGATAGTAGAGCTCTTTGTCACTGAGACCACTCTTTGTTCCAGACTCCTTCTCAAGCAGTCATTAGGCACGGTTAATGATTAATCCAGCAGGCATTAATCAGGTTAAACTATTAATCAGAGTTAGCTCAAGTGATAAAACCTATGCGTTATTAACAGGAGAATCTGTGATGATGAAAGAAACAGTGAGTAAGGAAGAATCTTGATAATGATAAAAAGCCCACAGGCAAATGCACATTTCACCGTCAGCAGAAGCTATGTTGTTCCCTTGTCTTCTTTTATCGTGGTAGGCTTTTGCCTGAGCACATAGCTCCTCATAATAAAAATGAAATCTTCTGGTATGTTCTTTGCAGCTGGCTGTGGCTATAGAGGATAAGTTCTGGCCGGTGGGATGGAACCTGCAGTGTTGTGTTGTAGTTTCTGGGGGCCGTTCTTAGGTGGCAGTTGGTGCCAGTTCTCTGCTCCTCTTCTTAGTCTCTTCCTGCGTTCTGCTGCCTGGAGCATGGACTTGCTGTGAGGAGGGATGATGAAGCGGTGAGCTGGAGGACCTTACGTCCTTGAGGACTTTACCAAGCAGGGCCTCTGTACCAGCACCAAACTAAACTTCCATTTTGTTTAAGACACTGTTAAATAGTCATTGCAATCTGCTGAAAGTCTGCTGTTCACCAAAATGGTTCGTTTATTTAACCCCCTCATCAGGAGTTCTTAGCACATGAGCAGGATGTTACGGCAAAACACATTCACTAGGGATATAAAGGCCAATGGAAAGACTTCTGTATACGTTTCCAGGTTAGAAAAGCATGTAATATTGGTGTCCACTAGAACAGTTGTCATAAGTGGCAGCAGGGATGTGATGATATGGTAGACAGAGCTATGGACTGGGAAACTGGGATGTTGGATTCTGGTTTTGGCCTTCCATAAGTTTTCTGAAATTGTTCTAACCACATAGAACCTCAATTTTGTATTAAAAATGATGTGCACGTCTGAGAGGAAGTGGTAAGAGGCTCATGCTGATGGGAGAAGGTGGAGGGGTGTGAGGGTATAAAGAGGAGCAAGGCCTGGAGCCTTTCCAAATCCAAGAAACCTTGCCATCAAATTGGGGACTGACCTGTTAGCTGGCAGAGGCCAGT